TGAATTCAACTTGAGAATGTGTCAAAAGGTCATGGATCTTCGATGCATGATGACATTCATGAGGAGTGCATTCGTATGTTCCAAGATCAACATAGGGTATGTTGTCATGTATTGTCAGATCGATGCGTTCTCCATCCTTCGTAATCATGAAAGGCATTTGACCAAATGGCCAAACAAAGGAATATCCTTCTTCCATGCATCGCTTCCCAAGAGACATCACAGACGGAGTGTCGTCCAGTACATAAGCATGAGATGTCATATCAAAGGTTCCCAGGTCAATCTCCGCTTCCGTTTGAGTAGCAGTTGAACCGTTGGCGGTGTGGAACATAATAGGATCACAAGTTCGTTGCTTCAAGTTCATCCTTTCAGCTTTCCTTGCAGAAATCAGGTCATGTCCGCTGCCAGAATCCAGGATGAATCTGCGATCTTTGGCTTGTACTGGTAATGAAATGCACATCACATTCTTGGACTTCATGAGGGATTTTCCAACCTCGTGTTCAACAAGCTCTTCAATAAAAGTCAAATCATCACGATCATCGTCCAGTTTGATCAACATGTCGAACTTGGGGCCAATGATGATCCTAACCTCATCAACGAAACGATGAAGTCCGCATCTGTCCATGATGATTGCTTTGGCCCGTGCTCTGACTGATCCAAGTGTGTTATCGGATTTGGACTGATCATCGGTCAAATCATCGATCTTCCAGAAGACATATTGCTTGTTGGGATCACGATACATGCGTTTGGGTAGTCCCTCCTGGTAGTTCTCAATGGCAATCTCGTGCACTTCAGGTTCCAGCTCGAATGAGATCCTGCGATCATCAGAAGACTTTCTTGCACTGGCTATCCTCGGTGAGGTATAATCCAAAGAATCTTCATTATCGCTATCGAAGAAGGAATCGATGGTAATGGGAGTTGCTTTCTTCTTTGGCGTCTTCTTGCTGGTCTTCTCTGATGATGCTGAAGGCGACTGGTCTGCATGTAGGAATTTACACTTGTTCCCAAACGTGCAAGTACCCTTCTGCCAATTCCAACATACTTTCTTTTTGGGTCCAGCTGAAGATGAACTTCCTCTACTTTTCCCTCTTGATGAATCTCGACTTCCGCTTCTGCCTTTCTTACCCTTCATCTTGGCATCATAGACCTTCTGAGAATGACTGTACAGACATTTGTCACCCTTGTTGCATCCTCCTTTGTTGAAGAAGTAGTTACAGAAAATCTTCTTCTTGTCAACGGGTGAAGATGATCTCCCTCTCCCACCTTTGCCTTTCTTGTTGTTCTTGTCGGCATGGGATTTCGGAGAAGGTGTTGGAAGTACTGATGCAGCTTCACTCTTCGCCTTCGCTTTAGGCCGTTTGGGAGGATCACCTGTAGACGATGCAGCTGCTTCATTCTCCTTCTTGGTCTTGATGGGAGCAGCAGGCTTGTCAGCATCTTCCAGGGCAGGTGTCGTCTTGTTAGAGGACAATGACAGTTTCACTGCACGTTCTCTATCCTTCAACAGTCGTTCTTGCTTTCCTCGTGCTATGTATCCTTTGATCATGCCAGTTAGGTAAGCATAGGTCTTCTCAGGATGCCCTTCATCAAATGTTTTGTATCGGTTGATATCAAAGGCCATAAGCTTTGAATGTTCAATCTTCCGGAACAATGTGTCACGCAGGGAATTATTGGAAGGCAGATCATCGTGTTTCATATTGTATACGATGTCAAGCCACTTGTTGTAGAAGGCCTCAAGTTGGTCATCTCCATAGTAGTTGAACATATACAAATGATGGGCATTGTAGAGAACTTCAGTGTGGTCAGGTGACTTGAAGCTAATCAGTATCATTGCGAATAGTTCTCGTCCCTTGATGAAGTCCCCACTTCTCCCATACAGTTGGTTCTTCATGGACATGTCATACTTCACTTGCATGGACTTGTCCCCAGCATTGTCAATAACTTTCCTTAAGGCATTAGAGAGCTTGGCATCAATGGATTGGAATCTCACATCAGGTGCTTTGGCCAGAGTCTCCAAGTCAGGTTGATCTGCAAGACACGGAGCTAGCCACGCTTTCCAATCTTCATAGTTTCGATCTCCACTTGCAACACAAACTTCATGAACGACACTTCCCTTCCAGGATGAAAGTTCAGTGGTCTTAGGCCAGGGTTGGAGGCTGATCTTTTCGGCTTCTCTTAGAGATACGGATGACTTAGACCTATCCCTCTCAAGGTTCTCCAACTCCTTGACATTGGTGTTGTACTCGTTCCTGAGCTTCTCGAAGGCTTCAGCTTCTGCTCGGTATTCCTGCTCTTCATCATTGGCACGATCTTCAGCTTGAGAGAAATTGTTCTTGTAGTAATCTTTCCGATCTTCCATCTTCTTCAACTCATCTTGAAGATTTCGAACTTCAGCGTTCCTCTCTTGCTTCATCTCGTCCAACTCTGCTTTCAGTTTGGCACACTTCTCTTCACATTCACTCCGAGGCATAGCATTACTGGGGTACCCATGTAATGTAGTCGGTCTATTCATTGATGAAGAAGAATGAGCTTGGTTTTCCAACTTCAGGGCAGCAATAGTGCTCAACATCTCTTCTACCTCAGCGAAACGCTCATTGGCCAATTGATGCATCTCGGTCAAGTGGCTTTCGGGAATGGAATAATCAGTCGCACCTTTGATCACGAGTCTTCTGTCGTTCAACATCTTGATGGACTTACTTGCATCCCTGTGAGCACGCTCAAGAGAGTCCTTTTGGGCTTCAAGTTCAGTATGAAGGCGAGCAATAGCTGTGTCCCTGTCATTGATTTCATTGTGCAAACTGTCGAACAAGTTACTCGTCACATTCGGATTGCTACTCATGTGATCGATCTTGTTCAGAGCATCTTGATATTTCTTACCAGTTTCATCGAAATTTTGCTGGAAAGTTTTGAGCAGGTTCTCAGTGTCAATGAGTTCAGTTCTGTTTTGTAAGTACAACTTGTCAACTTCAGCCTTGGATTCCTTCAAGCTGTCACGCTCACGCACGGCTTGCATGTACATCTCGTATAGAGGTCCTCCATGCGGTGATCTGCTTGGTGAAGATCTTCTGGCTTGTTGACAGGAAAGTTCATGATACTGATTCTTCGATTCAGTCAGTTGTTGTTGCATTCGATCTAAAAGACTTTGTTTCATGTGTAGTTCAGAACGTAGTCCCATTATCCTCATGTCCCGCATGCCACTCGATTCAGCTATAGATTCTTCAGAAACCTTGCTCTCAGAAATCGCTAATCGAGATTGTAAGCTTTCATTGTGGATCACCTGCAACCGAAGTTGCGATTCTTCCAAAGCTAAGTGATGTTCACATTCTGCATAGCGGTTATGTTCAGATCTTATGTTACTACGGAACTCCTTCATGATCTCGTCCCTCTTCATGTCAGCAGCATCGAGCTCAGTTTCCAGTCGTCTAACATTCATGGCCATGGTGTGCTTCATCGTCTGGTTCTGATTGGCAACCTCGAGCATCTCGATCTGTAAAGCACATGTCTGGTCGTTAGCATAGCCGACCGCTAGAGCTTCTTGCTTGGCATTCATCTCTGCGTTTTCCAGTTCCAGTCTGAGTTGATTGATGTGAGCATTCGCATCAGCGCCCACGTGCACCATAATTGCGTTTGCTTGTCCCATTTGTTCATCGAATTCCGAACGTAGTCGTGAATATTTGAATTCCAAATGAGATGCAGCTTCATTCGACATAGTCTGATACCTTTCCAACTCTTCGATCCTGTAGGTCGCACCTTCATCTTCTTGTTGGGCAGCCTGTAACTCGAAGTTCAGCATCTGGAGTTGTTCGGTCATCGACATCATCTCTTGATGAGTGGTGCTTTCCAGGAAATTAAATTGTTGATAGGCATATGCTGTCGTCTCGCTCAATCTTGCCTGAAGTACGGATTCTTCTTCAGTGGCCTTTTCCAATGATGTCTTGTATTCAGCTAATTCACTCTGATAGGCAGTGAAGATGTCGCTACCACTTGACGGGGCGTTCACTTGCTGATAAGATCCTGTCCCTGATGGAGTAGCGTCCTGAATCGGTGAAGGCGGATTCGACGACGCAGTCTTTGCCTTAGTCCTTGGAGTCATCGGAGGCGACAATTGTCGTGCAGATGATCTTCTCTTTCCAGGTGTGCTGTCCCTATCTTCAATTGCTTGCATTGTCGAAATTTGTCTCCCTCTAGGAGCAACCAGAGGTCGCCTGGGTAGGCTTGTTCTCAGTTCTGAGGCATCGCTTCCACCAGTGTCGATACTCTGTGAAGAATTTGACTGCGTGCCGGCAGCTGGTGCAACGGCATGTCCAGAGAAAGAAAATGCATTATCGCTGCTATCCTGTTCAGTCATCTGTAAGGCCCGCGGCTACCCGCTCGTAGGCTCCGTAGGAGTCCTACGGCTGATAACCTGTGAATCGGAGGTTATCTCCCCGACTATGTATTGATGTTGGTTCTTGAAGTGGTTGTCTTCAAAGGTGATGACACACGAACAGCGGCTTCCGCATGGCTTAACTCTTTTCCGGTACTGCAGTGGGTCTTGAGCCAAAGGGGCGATTTTATATACCCCCTTGGCAATGGATCCTAGAGTGTTGAATTGTATGTGAATGCACAATGGTACGTAGCCTACACTCTATTCGCATTGATAAATGTTGATAAATGTTGATAAATGTTGATAAATGTTGATAAATGTTGATAAATGTTGATAAATGTTGATAAATGTTGATAAATGTTGATAAATGTTGGTAAATGTTGATAATTTTTGATAAATGTTGATACATGTTGATAAATGTTGATAAATGTTGATAAATGTTGATAAATGTTGATAAATGTTGATAAATGTTGATAAATGTTGATACATGTTGATAAATGTTGATAAATGTTGATACATGTTGATAAATGTTGATAAATGTTGATAAATGTTGATAATAATAACAAATAATCATGGTTAAACGGTTAAACATGGTTAAACATGGTTAAACATCTTCCATCTCCAGACGCCAAGTCACTGCTGGGGGTCCTGTGGGATCTTTCAGACTCTCCAGAGCGCTACGCAGTTCCACTGGCCTCAGCTTCCAATGGCTGGAAACGGATCAAAGATGATGCAAAACTGCAAAAATATGGATATAATATGGATAAATCATGATAAATTCAATGATAATTTCAATGATAAATCATCATTTGATGTGAAAAATGCAGAAGCCCCTTTCAACTGTAGCTTCAAGATGAAAATCCAGAGCAAGAGAAAGAAATTCGAGCACGATTGCGCAGCTTCGGGAAGCGGGAGAAACTACAAATGCGACTTGGTTCCTGGTTCTGAAATATATGACTGTACATGACTGTACTATAATCCCATCGTCGGTCCCCATAGTTGTCGCCAACCAACAAATCAGTGTTTCATTCCCAGGTGAAACCTGCTTCGCCATGCTTCGCCAAGCTGCTGAAAGGGAAAGACTCTCATCGCCTCCTATGAGCTGATCGTGAAAAAAACACGAGCTGTTAGTCACAATTTTCAATTCAGGTGGCTACTGAACTATTCAACTATTCCAACTTCCACGATTACACAGGATAATTTGGGATCTGGGCATTCTTTTCACTTCTGACTAAATGAAGATCTCCAACAGGAGTACTCACAAGTAGTGCTGCGTCACATGGTGATGCACATCATGCGCAAAAACAATGGATGTGATGTTTGTCCAAACCGGACGAGGCCGGTTCTGCTGTACAGGTGGCTTGAGGGGATTTCTTGACTAAAAACAGTATCCCATAAGGCAGCAGCACAGGCAAGAAAACAGACCAAGGAAACGTCTATCAATGCCCATCTGAGGGATGACAAGTCAACTTCTCAATGAAATTGAATGAATGGCATTTCTCTAGCCTTTGACTCATGCCCAGTGCTGGTCATCTCTTCTAGCTGCCACACAGTGATCAATCCCTCCGAAAAAGACATGGGCGTCACAGTATACTCTTAATATAACTTAATCTCTCTTAATCACCACTGAATCACCACAAGCATTGTAGTTAATGCATGTTAATGCTATGACCATGTCATCACTGATCAATCTCCCTGGTGACCATGATGACCATCCCGGTATCCCGGTGCGCCTCGGCGCCCTTTTCCACGTCCAGCCAGGTCTCAGGGCGAATGCGCCGGAAGAGCCGCTGCAGCATGGACCTCTGCTGGAGGCATCGGTGGCATCCCAGGGTCATCCCAAGGTGGAAGAAACAGGTGAAACCATGGAGAAAAATGGGTGAAACATCCTGAACAAAATGGTGAAAAAACTTGGAGAAAAATTGGCAAAGAATGTCTCGAAGCTCGCCTCGCGCGTTCTTCCAGGTGAACTTCTGGACACCTCTCAGGGCTGCTGAAGGTAGTTTGATTTCTAGTCAGCTGATGTTTACCAAAAATGAAAAAAATGATTTGAAATTGTAACTTGAGTGTTTCATCCTGTTTCCATGTTTATTTTTACTTCGGACTATTTTCATGTGAAATGTTCTGTCCCTTTGATTTGCAACGGTCTCTACAACTAACAACAGCTGTATAGAATTGTATGGATATTTATAGCTACAAAATGCATCAAAATGCTACAAACACAAACACAACCTCCACGGCTGGCCATGGCTGGCCTCTTGAGGCTTTCCACCGCTGGTGGTAGCTTCGGCGGCACCTTTGCCAAGCACAACGTCCTTGGGTGCGAGGCAGATCCCAAGCAACGCAGCAACGATCGAAAGGTGAGTTACGGAATCTGGGTGTGAGTTACCGTGAGTTTGTGTGACAAAGGGATGTGACAAACTTGGGGGACTGCAGAGCATTGGTCGGAAATCAGTTCCTCATCTCATATGAGTCATATCTATTCTGAACCGTTGGTCAACCGCCAAACAAAATCCACCGAACTCATCTCAGTCGTCCGAGGCGCCGGATCTCGGTGTATTGGCTCAAGTCCTGCAGGATTTCGAGGTGAACATCAACCGCAACAACCGCAACAACCGCAACAGAAGGGATCATGTGATATGTGATATGTGAGAATATGATAGAATATGTCTATTATATGTGAGAAATTCTGACATGTCATGATATGTCATTTTTTTGGTGTAATGATGGTAATGATGGTAATGTGATCCAGGTCCCATCGGATCACGGGTCACTTTCTCAGAAACGTACTATCTGCACCTTTTGAGTTGGGACCGCGGAAGGCACACAAAGGTCCAGAAAACAAAAGGGAAACAAAAGGGAAATGATGGGTTTGTTGGGTTTGTTTCTGCTTGCGGAGCAGCGTGAGCACCTGTTTTTCTTGGGCTAAAAGAAGCCTGCAGCAAGAAGTGGTTGTTACTCACTGCAGTCTTAGTTTGTAGTACAGATACTACACTTGTTCATAGCCATAAGGCCTGTTTCTGAAAACCCTTTTGCACTCCCCCTTTGGCGGACCGCCAAATCTCTATTCACGGAGAAGGCAACTACAGCCTAAAAAGCTGTCGCAGACAAATCCTGCAGACAGGTCAGAGGCTTTGCTCTTATAGATGGTGCAAAACGCCTACATCAGAGTTGCACTTTAAGTGCTCTCACATCCCTGAGGCCACCATCAAATTTCCGGGTCATAAAGACGAGACCCCTCGCACGCCTAGTGGCCTTAAACACTAGGCCCTTGGAAAATTTCTACGGCCAGTCAGGCCCAAAGCTTCTCTCAGCTGTGCTCTTCATGGACGAACTCCTCTTCCGCGCTGTAGTCCGGATCGTCCTCATGGCGTTCTTCCTCTTCATTGCTTTCCCGGCCATGTGCTGCAGGTCCACCATCATCATGCCCTGCAACTTCGTGGTCCTCTGTTGCTGGACCTTCTGCTGCATCATGACCTTCATGGTCTCCCTCAGGGATCACCTCGAGCTCCACCTCGACGTAGTCCCCATCATCACCATGTTCTTCTTCTTCTTCAATCTCCTCTTCATAGTTTTCCTCTTCAGGACCTGCTTCTGGGTCAGATCCTTCTTCATCTGCAGCTGCATCTGCATGAGCTCGGCTTGTTTTGCCTTTGCCCTTGGTCCGCAGGAAGTCGCGGTAGACCTCCAACCCCAGATTGGCAGCTCCTCTTCCCACCGGGGCTGTACTTGAGCTCGAAGGTGCTGCGCTGGAGCTTGAAGCGCCAGTTGGCGGGTGTAGGATGGCATCTGCATCCAGGTACTGGTTCACCGCCACGGCTGCCTCCTCATAGGCTGCTTCTGCCCCCTCGCTGCCATTCCCATGGGTGGCCACAGCGCTTTCCGCTCGCCGGACTGCGGCGGTGGCCTGGCGCAGCGACTGCGCCAGTTGCAGTTCGGCCGCTGGGTTTGCGCCCTTGCCTTGCAGGACGATGCGGCCCCCACTGCCTTTGCCCCCTTGGTTGGAGACGCGAAGGGCCCTTGGCTGCTTTCCCTTCGCATAGATGCGCTGCCATCCCGTCGTAGGGCTCGTCACGGAGTGGGTTATTGTGGAATCCTCACCCCTGGTGCCCTTGCCACGACGCTCCGGCCACCATCTGACCGTGTGGCCACGCCCCTTTCGGAGCTTCTGGGGCACCCATGCAGAGTTCTTGCCGACCTGGAACTTGTTCTTCTTTCCAGTCAGCTCATCGGATCTTCTTTTCATCCGATACATGAACTCCTGGGTGGCCGTCCCTTCCACAGAGTCATCCTCATCGTCCTCTGCTTCAGGTTCTGGGCTGGCTCTGTCATTGCGCCGTGGGTCATCCCCGTCTCCAGGGCCATCTCGTCCACCATCACCACCAGTTGCAGCCATCGCCCCATGCCTGGGGTCCCTCTGAAGAGGACGAGCCTTAGGTCGCAAGGCCATCTGCTCGTTTTGCTCTGCACTGGTTTCGTCGTACTGCACCTCCAAGATCTCAGCCTCTGAGGTGCTCGACAGTGTTCTCGACGGTGAAGGCACCCTTGGTGTCGATGGCGGAGTTCGCGCACATATTGGTCCAGCGCTGGCCAACCTGAGGATTCTCTGTAGAAGAGATTCTCCAGCATCTTCTCCTCCACCTTGTTCTTGTTGTTGTTCAGGCGGCGGTGCAGGAACTTCTCGTCGAGGCGGACTTACCATCCTTGTTGGTGGAGGTGTCGGCATTCCAGCTTTTGCCCTTGACTTCGCCATTGCCATCGCCAAGTCATGCCGAACCACATCGCCCGGTGTGCGAAGATCCACTTCAGGGCCGCCACGCTGTCGTTCCAACCACGCCGTCGCTTCTGCCAGTTCTTCAGGGGACCTATATCTCACTGGCCCAAGGTCCAGCGACACGCTTTGTTGCGCTGGTGCTTGCCCTTGTAGTCCTGGATGAAAGCCTTGTGGTCCTCTTGGAGGTCCTTGGTGTTGTTGCCCTCCACATCCAGGTGCAAACCCTTGTTGTCCGTGAGGTGCTTGTGGTCCATGGTGACCTTGTTGCACCCCTTGCCAACGAAAGCCAGGACAACATCCACCTCTCCAAACTCCAGCATATCCCTGCGGAGGTGGTGCCGGCAAATCCGGCTGTGGTGGCGGCATCCCGTGCTTTGGGTCCTGTTGGACCGTTTTGGCCCTTTTGTCTTGCGGCTGCTCTTCATCCTTTTTGGGCATCTCACACTGCCATGGAGGTGCTGATGGCAACCTTTTCATCATCTGTTGCATTTGCACCCACTCCTCATCTGTAAGCGGTCCAGATGCCGATGCCGTTGTGCTCCTCAGCACTGCTTCTCTGGTTTCACCTCTTTCTTGTTGTAGAGCTCTGCGGGCAATTTCTCGATCCAGCCATGACCTCCGCAGTGTTGCTTGGCGCAAGTTCTCATTCTTCTCCTTGCGCTCCTTGTCCCATTCCTCGTAAGAGAGGATTCTGCGGCCTGCTGCTTTCGCCTCCGCAAACTGCCTTTCCGTCTCCTCCTCGGCAGCTTTCCAATCCACCGAAGATGGTGACGGCGCCCTTGGCTGAGGTTCTTTGGGCTCCTCAGCTTTTACTTCCTCAGGCTTTTTGTCTTCCTGAGGTTCTTCTGACGCTGGTAGTTCTTGTTGTCCCAAAGGTTCTGCAGCTTCTTGCCGTCTTTGTCGTTGTTGTTGGAGAAGTCGAAGGCGAGCCATTCTTTCATTTCGGACCCTTCTGGCACTTTGCATCTCCTGGATGTCTTTCTCCAACTGCGTCACTTGTTTCTTCACTCGTACCCTGCGGTACTTCTTCGGCTTGGGTCCTTCTTGTTTCAGGACCTCACCTTTTTCAGCATCTCCAGGTCGTAGTGCTTCCCCATGTAGTTGATCTTCTCCTTGTTCAGATTTCCCAGCACCTAGTCCACTGCTTGAGGCTTGGCCTTCCTGCACTGGTACTGCATCATCTCCTGAAGAGAAGCCCTTCTCATCGTCCAACACCACGCTCCTGATGCCCTCTTTTTCCTCATCCTGGGATGATTCTTCCACGCAGTGCACCTCATCATCTGGCACCCGTGACACTTGCAATGCCGGTCTCAACGTCACCAATGAGGGAACCGGTTTGAGACTCACCCTCTTCGGCTTTGGTTTCCCCGGGCATCTTTCATACAATTGGCCAGGGACATCGCGGTCTAGTCGATCATCACGATCTTCTTGTCGACCACGATCACCTTGATCTTCTCCACCATCGCTCATCACCGCAAAGAAGCGCAGAGCAGGTGGAGGTTGTCCATCTATGTTTGAACCAGGCCGCAACAAAGTCAAAACTGCAGCCCGTTCACCATCAAAACTTTGCAAATCACCAGCAACATGTCCCAACGAAGTTCCCTTTGTTGTAGTACTCATGTTTTGGGTTTCTAACGACATAGTGCTTCCTTTTGGGTAACCCTTTCTGTTTGGGGACATTTTTTGGATTACTGGCGCAACCCCGGAACCCTTACCTTTTCCACTCCAGCTGCTGTCCTCAAGTCGGTCTTGTTTGACCCTTTTGGTCCTCTTTTTGATCAAGCCCTTCGGGATGTCCATCAAATCCAAGCCCATCTCCCCCTCATCCGCGACCAGTCGTGTCGATGCCGAAGTCACCGACGATCCCATGGCACCATCAGCGGATGAAAAAAGAGACATCGCCCGAAGTTGTGGTCCCTGACCCTGACCACCAGGATCATCATCTTCGACCAACTCGAAGCTGCCATCGCCCTCAGCCTCCTCATCCAGCTGCGTAGTGGCAACTGGTTGGGTACTGCTCTGGCTTGAAGTGGCAGGTTGTTGAAGTCCTTCTGGGAGTCGCTGAAGAAACAACGTGTAGCCCGTCCAACCAGTCGTTTCCCATGATTCAGACCAGTTGTCCGCCACTTCACTGCGTCTTCCATTTCCATGGATCACCGTGAGCCTCCTTCCCAAGAGATTGCCTGGAGCTCCTCGGTGAACTGGATGGAAGCTTCGTCTCCTTGATGTCCGGTGGTTTCGCATCACCACCCGATACCTCTTGCCAAAGAGCTCCACAACATCCATGTAGTGCCATCCATCTTGAACCCGTGGAGGTTGTGTGAACAGCCAGTTTTCTGCAACCCTTCGAAGAGCCTCATCAACTTCATTGTCAGTTGGTTCTCGTGGCGGAGCTCCTGGAGGTTGCCGTTGTGGATATCCTTGTTGGCCTGTTGAACTGCTAGAGGAAGCACCTTGTTGTTGTTCACGTTGAACTGCTTGATGAATGCTCCCCCGTTCAGCAGCAACTGCTCTTTGGAAGGCTTCTGCACGTTGTTTTGGTTGTGCCTCTTCTGCCCTCCTCTTCGGTCTTGCCTTAGGCAATGCTGCCTTAGGCGCATGTTGTTGCATCCATTGCACTGGAGGAGCTTTGTAGTTGGGAGGTACCTGTCCAAGGTGTCGTAGATAGGCATTGCCGTGAGGGTCCCCATGCGGGAATGGCACCCCAGGGTCTGCCTCTGAGTCATCATCTTCGATGGGATCATCAGGATCACCCTCATATCGAAGTGCGCTCACTCTTGGCACCTCAGACACTGAT